CTTGGTAAAGTGGAGAATCAGCAAAAAATAGGAAGACCCCAATGAGATGGGTTGACACCATGGCTGCAACATTGGGTTCAAACATAATTGTGAGGCTGACACAGGACCAGGTACCTAACAACAACAACATTGTCAGGAGAACCCTCTTCTTCCAGGGTATGGCTTCTCACATTCCATCTTCAGCACAGAGAACAACAAGGAAGATTCTTGAATTTAGAAAGATATTTTTGCAACCAGAACATATGCAGCAGGCAGTCATTTCTTTTCTGGAAAATTTCATCTGACCCAAATACAGAAATTTTAATAGAGTCAAACAGGAGAAGCAGGAAATGCAAAATTGTGATACTTTTTCATAATTCTGTCTTACAGGTGCAGGATATCATATGGTCATGATGAAAGAACCTCATTGTAAAGCAGCAGAAGTTTCCAGTCTTATATATAACTACATACCAAATGCCAGTCTGGATAGCAATGTTGGCACTGAGTTATCATTTATCCTACCCAAAGAATGTGCAAACAGGTATTCACTCATAGAAGACTAAACTAGTATACTTCGTTTATTGCAATCTCAAGTTTTGTTAAATATTTAAGCAAGTATATAGAAACAATCATGGCCTTAAGAATTTATAGACATTTTTTTTTTCTACCATTAGCTATGTGGTTGTTGTTGTTAAGTACCATCAAGTCAGTTCCAACTCAGCAACCCTGTACAGGGTTTCCAAGTGATCGTATAATTTTATATAATTTTAATTAACAGATAGATATATGTAATTTGAGCTCTTTTTGCATTATGTAATTTTATATGTAATTCGATGTATGAATACTATCTCCATACATTAATCAACAAACAACAACATACATAAACTGTATAGTATTCCATTCTATTGAAAGGCCAGTTTACTGAAGCATACCCCTGTTACTGAAGTTAGGGTTTTGCTTTCTTCTTTTAAATGTTTCAATGTTAATGTATGAATAGAAGTATTCTAAAGTTTCTATTTTCATGTTGTTGCAGTCTGGCAACCAACAGTGGCATCTTAACATTTATCAGACAGCCTTGAAGGCAAGAAGTTGAAAGAGGACATTAAAGTCATACTCATATTAGGTTACAGAATTTTTTTTTTCTTAATTTCTCTTCTCTCCCTCCTCTCCCTTTTTTGCAATTATAGACTATAGTATCCAATCTAGTTTTTTATTGTTGTTGTTGTTGCGCTCTTTGGTGAGTTTTTGTATTGCTTTGTTTTTTTGCTGTTGCTGTTTTGTTGTTTTATGCTTCCCATCTTACTTTTGGGGGACTCTTTTTCACCCTATGTTACCCAAGAAGAGACAGAACTGCTACCATATAATCAAGCTACAACCACACTCTGTAAAACACCCAAATCCAGGCAAGAACCAATACAACTGCCATACACCAGGGAGGCAGACAACACCTGTGAAAGTTACTCTGAGTTAAGCAATAAGAAGAGTGAAAAGGGAAGCCCACATCCTGATCACATCTACCTGGAGGCAATCAGCATAAAAAATACCAAAACACACACTCAATTAAGTATTAAGACCACAGACAACACTAAACATGTCTGAGAAGCAAAAGCAGATGACCATATCAGCACATGTCCAAAAACAAGATAAAATGTATGAGGGAAAATGACCTACAGGTAGACCTGAACTATATTCTGGAAGGAAGGCAGGCCTTGGAAATGCCTGAGAAGGAATTCAGAAAAATGATTATAAAATGTTTCGAAACACTTTACAATGGAGTTGAGCAAAATAAGGAAGAAGTAGGAAAGCGTTACAGAAATAATAAAATAAGATAGATACAGCATTGGAAACAATTCAAAACCTACAGAAAGAGGTCCATACGATCATAATAGAATATCAGAAATAGACAATACACTGAAAGGGCAAAGGAACAGAATAGAAGAGATGGAAGGCAGAACTAGTAAGCTCGAAGATAAATCTCTTAATACCACTAAGATAAAAGAGCAAACAGAAAAAAGGATAAAAAATCTGAAAAACGTCTAAGATTCATGTTGGACAACATGAAGAGGAATAACTTAAGAATTATTGGAATAAAGATCTAAAGAGAAATTAATAAAATAGAATACAGAAAAACAGTGAAATGAAAAAAAAAAAAACAAAACAAAAAAAAAGAGTTCGGCATTCCAGAACTACATCTTAGTGATTCTCTTTGAGGATCTATCCTGTTTGGGGTTTATTTAGCTTCTTGAATGCTTATCCTCTCATAATTCATGATGTTAGTAAGTTTTCTGCTAATAATTCTTCAGCAGTTTTCTCTGTGCTTTCTCTCTCTCTCTCTCTCTTACAGTTCAGGAATCCCAGTCACCCATAAGTTATTCCTCTTCATGAATTCCCACAGTGCCACACCAGGACTCCTAGATATGAATTTATTGGACTCCTAGTGTGATGCTGTAGGATCAGCACTGGAGTGAGAACCACAGGCTGGCAGTTCAAACCCACTAGCTGCCCTTTGGAAGCCCTATACCTGATCACTATGAGTTGAAACCTACCCAATGGCACTTAACAACAATAAGAATAGCATGACTTCATTGCTGTCATTCTTCTGTGTTTTTATTGTGGTGTTGGTGCTTTCTTTTGTTCTTATATTTTTTATTCTGATTTCATTTTGTGATCAGATTTTCTTTTCATTTTCTTCATTGTTGTTAGTTTTGTGTTTACCAAGTTCTTATGGTTTTCTTCTTTAGGATTGTTGTTGTTACATGGCATCAAGTCAGTTCTTTTCCATAGTGACCCTGTATAGGGTTTCCAAAGGAGCAGAAAGTCTTATCTTTCTCCCAAAGAGTGGCTGGCAGGCTTGAACCATGGACTTTGTGCTTCGCAGTCCGGTGCTTATCATATAAAGCCACTGCACTCCCTTTCTTTAGAATGTTGTTGTTCTTAAGTGCCATCAAGTCGATTTCGACCCATAGCGACCTTGTTTAGGTTTCCAAAGAACAGCTGGTGACCTTGAACCGCCAACCTTGCAGTTCAAATGACTTTGCATTCTGGCACATTAACCTACAGTGCCACACCAGGACTTTCTTTAGGATAGAAGATGATGTATTAACTTTCTTTATGTTTACCCTGTAATTTATTTTTGTCTTTCCTTTGGTATGGATTACATCTCAATGTAAAGAAAACAAAAATCCTACTACTGGACCAATAAAGAACATTCTTATCAATGGAGAAAAGATTGAAGTTATCAAGGACTTCATTCTTCTTGGATCAACCAATTATCAACACTCATGGAAGCAGCAGTCAAGAAACCAAATAATGTATTGCATTAGGCAAATCTGCTGCACAAGACCTTTTTAAAGTGTTGAAGAGCAAAGATGTCAGCTTGAGGACTAAGGTGCTCCTGACCCAAGCCATTGTATTTTCAATAACCTCACATGCATGCGAAAGCTGGACCGTGAATAAGGAAGACCATAGAAGAATTGATGCCTTTGAGTTATGGTGTTAG